CCTGTGGTGATATTTATGCATCGGTGAACTGTTACGATAGTGCGCTGACCCATTAGACCCTGTAGATGGCGATTTGCGGTGCTTTCCAAGTGTAACACTATGAATAGAGGAGGGGCGTGATGAGTATTCTCCCCTGTCAGATCCCGGCGTATGAGCACCGCCATACGACCGCACGCTGGGAATTTGCTCTAGTATTTGAGGTGGCTCCAGAACTAGCAATTGCCCAGAGTTTCCTGACGACCGATGAGAATTTACACTGCTCGAACGGCGCGACGACGTCGAGTGACGTTTCACACGCCGTCCACGCCCAGTTCCACTGCCTCTTCTCTTGACATTCGCATGACCACCAGGTGACATGGAAACAGTAGGGGGAATGGCAAGAGAACGGCTATATGAAAGTCCGCGTCCACTGCCTTGAGCTTGCGCCGCCTCCTTCCGCTTCCCTTTCTTATCTTCCTGGAACCACAGTCTGAACGCAGACAATAAACTGGCGCGATTCCGGTTAGGTGGTACAACCTTTCCGTCATCTGAGAAGTTCGGGAGGCTCGTCAGCGTATCACCCGGAGAGTTCGCAGGTGTTGGTGCATGTGATTGTGGAGGAGACGTTCGGCCACCAGTGACCACCCACGGCGAACCAGGCAAAGGAGAAAGGATACTCGACTCTGCAACGGATGGGGTAGTAGGGATAATCACTTGGTCCTTAGGCTTCAAAGGCGGCGACTTGGTCAACTTGGAGGAGTTCCCGGAATTTCGGGGCTCCTCCCCGCCTCCAGTCCGCTTCTCGTGCTCCCTGGATCTTTCCCGCTCGCGTTCCTTGTCCTCCCCTTTCACGGCTTCGTTTGATTTCTTGCGCACGAGACCTGCGATTTCGAGGGCGTTCGTGGCGCGTTGCATAATGCTCACACTCCCAGAGCGTGCTTTGCTATCCCTCCTCCCTTTGTTGTCCTTATCTTTATCCCTGAAACTTCCGGTAGGTGTCGATGGATTGGACCTGCCAGACGATTCAGCGGTAGTCGGTGACGGTGACAGAAACGGCGACTTCGCACGTGGCGGCGTCGTGGGCCGTGCAGATGATGGGACGGTAGGCGTTGGAGGCAACAAGGCAAGTTCAGGAGCACGATGTATCAGACCCAGTGATGAAGCAATTGGGACATCATCAGTCTGCACGCCGATGCCACGCTTGGGACGTCTCCGAGAATTAGGACGGTCCTCTTTCTCTTCGTCTTTCACTCGCTGCTTGCTATCTGCAGGCTCGGAAAACTCGGGGGGCAATGGTATCTCTCCAGCCAAAACGCGTTTTTCCCGCTTGCGCTTTAGCATCCACCAAATAGCACCTGCGGCATCGCACGCATTGCTGAGAACAGAATGCACGATCTGACTAGTGTCAAATCCCAGTAGACTGAGGCTATTGAGAAGGTCGCGTTCCGCGGGTGTGGAGAAAATTATGGGAGCTGGAGTGCTGAGCAATGATGCAAAATCCTGGGGTGGGAGAGGGGCCAATGGCTTGTCCAGTGTTGGTGAACCAGAGTCGGAAAGGGTAGAAGATACAGAACGGCGCTTTGTACGTGCAGGTGTGCGTGTTGGATACGGGGGCGCCTTAGGGATTTGATCGAGGTTTGTAACCGACCCTGCAGCGGATGGTGCAACGTTCTCTGCTTCAGGTTCTTCTTCGATGACGGTTTCAGGCTGCCGAGTCATGCTATCTTTACTGAGTTGAGAGCGCTGAGCATCCTTCGTGATCGTGGTTTGGCTCCCGTTACCCTGAGTTGTATTGAAAGGGTCCTTAGGAGTGTTATCAGGAGTTGCAGGGGGTGACGGAGATAAATGAGATGATGCAGAAACAAATGATTCAGATGTAGTCGACGTCGCCGGAGAAATAGAAATTTCGTTCACCTGTGTTTGAGTGTTCACGATGGGTTTCACAGGGAGGATAAAGGTATCGCGGGCAGGTGACGGCGATGGAGGAACATCGTTGATACCAAGGAGCACTTGGTCAGAAACAGGGGCGGAAGGGGTACATGTAAACCACGGAGAGGCCAGAATTTGTGGAATCGTCAGACGCTTGGCAGGATCGACCTCGAGAATATTGCGGACAAGATCACGGGCGTCTATGTCCGCCGCTGGTAAATCACATCCGAAAAGCATAAAATTAATAGATACCTGTAGAAAGCCACTCCGGGTCTTCATATTTGCCTTTGATGACCTTTTCTTTCATGACTGCTTCGTCGTCGTCATCAAACGGAAGTGTGCCAGTTAGAAGACAGTAGAGAATCACACCCATGGACCAAACGTCAACCTCTAATGCGCCATCGAAATTAAAAGGTTCCAATGAAAGAAAGTAAGGTAGGCGAGCTCACCTGGGCCAAGGTAACGCTTGCCTTGAAGCATCTCAGGGGCCGCGTATCCCGTAGTACCGCAAAAAGTCTCCATATAGACGCCACGGTCATATTCGCGGGTAAAACCAAAGTCGCCGAGTTTGACGCGACAGCGTTCATCAAGTAAGACATTTTCAAGCTTCAGATCTCGGTGAACGATGCCCTTCTCGTGGAGATATGCAACTGCAAGCGCAAGCTGACCAAAAATGATGCTGGATTCGCGTTCGGACAAGCGACCTTTCTCAGCAAGATAGTCAAACAGCTCTCCGCCACAACAGAGTTCTGTGACGATCCAGATGTGAGATTCGGTGGCAATAACTTCATACATCTGAGTAACATGGGGGTGTTGAAGCTGGCGGTGGTGGTGTATTTCACGGGTGAGGGAGGCAGACATTGCCTTTGGAATCTGCTTTATGGCGACTCTAGTAGAGGTGATACGGTGAGTACCCAAGCGAACCTTCCCGTACGCGCCTAGTGTGTGTCAGGTATAGGAAAGCAATAAGAGTCAGAAGCCATACCTTCACCGATGACCTTTCCAAGGGTGTAGTTTCCGACAACCCTTATCTTACTCGACGAGAGTTCCTTCCCGAGTTCGTTATAGGCATTAGCAAGTTGTGCTTTGTGGTTCTGGGTCACGGAACCCGTATGTTTGTGGCCGTGTGCAGACATGTACAAGTTGAAATTTAACGTAGAACAGAAATGAGAGGCGCGGGCACAAGGGCCACAGAAGTAGTTCACAGATTGGCAAGAAATTCAGTTAAAGCAGATGCTTGGCAGATGCCAGCCGGTTTGGTAGGACAAGTTGCTCGATCCAAACTACTTCAAGTTTCCACTGACAACTGTTGGACACAGCCAAGATTTCCCACGCCGTTCAACCGAAATAGAGCTTCAGTTCTTCCAGACTCGACAACAATTTTCAAGTACAAATCCGAGGGCCCGACATGTTAACAAGCCATGAGATACTCATAGAAAAACTCAGACATCACTGCCAAACTCGCAGATAAAAAGGGTGAAGAACTTCAAAAAATGATTGCCGATTCGTATATCTCACCTGATCTCGAACAGTACCTAACTTCCACCTCGAATCACGATCAGGCGAAGAACAACTTCCTTATGAAGCAGAGGAAGATGAGAACTATCCCCGCGCATATTGTCCTTAGGCCCGACAGGCAGCTTCCCTGATTCGTTCCACATATGGGTGGTCAGCGGCTCAATTCTCGCCTCGCTATCGACCTGCGCCTGGGTTCATTCAAGAGATTCTTGCGTAATGTGACCGGCACCGACAACTGCAATTCGCACCAGAAGATGCTTCTGATCGCATGCATACAAATTGCAACTCCAGGACGCGATTTACACCTCAGCATCTCAGAAGCTTGGCAAGGGTGGACGATAGAAAATCTAAACGTTGTCGCGATTTCAAACGCTGTGAATTTCTTTTTACCAGCCAACGTGAAGAAATGAGGCTCTTTGACCTTCCTGTATGTGCTCCGAGTCTTCGATTCAGACTTCTTTCCACCGCTAAACACTGGACAGCCAATACTTCCGTGCTATATATTGCCTCTGGTGACACTTACGATCCAATCGATGGCGTTGCCGAATTCAATGGACACCCACGATCATGTAAGATCGTAACCTAGACGTAATAGTCACGACTCTTAATATGATTCAACTGCCATTTTAAAGACCCACCTAGCAAGACGATGGGAATGATACTCCTTTCTCGGCTAATACTCGAACTCAGGAAGCGCGAGCGTGAAATGATACAGGGCGCCACGTGGTTGTAAGCTGGTATGGATCCGGACGGACCACACTGCAACGCGGTGCTGCTCATATAAACGTTTTGGCAAGACAGGTTTAACGTGAAGCACTTGCGCGATGGTATGACCATGTCAAGTCACAACTGAGCAAATAGCGTACACAAGAGGCGGACACGAACACAATGCGGACTGGGGCCAGGAGCGGAAAGAGGTCGCGGTTGCATGTATATCTGGATGCAATCGGGGACAAAAAATCAGATATGGTTCAACAGCATGGTCGACGTCATGAGGAGCTTCATCGATGCATCGAGCACGCGGGACACGACAGACGCGCATTTGTGCAGAAATATATATTCATTTCAAACTGCGAATGCAAGAGTCAAAAAAGCCTAAAATCGTTGAACCCAAGAGTGTATATGATGCAAGTAATTGCAGGTTAAGACTATGTACCGCGTCAGCAGTTTTCCCACGACATGGCCTCTAACGAAACTCTCTTCTCCCACTCATCAGGCTCATTATGCATAATGTATATCTTTCGAGTGGCCCGAGGTCATCCGGGTTTTAAAATTGTGATCATCTAACTGCTTAAAAGTCTCTTCACTCCTTCATCGTTCAAGACAACTTTCAAAGGCACGTGTCTAGTTCATTCTCTATGTAGGAATGTGATAGACCTGTACGCGATCTCCGAGTCCGAAAGGAAGAAAAACTCAGCGATCAACGATATTTAACGACATACAATGACACAACACAAACTTCGGACCGTTCTGAAAATTGAAAATCATACTGCGATACATATAGGGATATTGGTGATTCATTCCGATTCTTCTTCGTTTCCTCCTTACTGGCACCATACTGACGTAGAGGTTTCTCATTCAGAGTCGACCTCAGGATACCTATGCATGATGCGCCTGAGCTCCACGTCTGGAACCCTCGGTGTAAACACAATAGGGCAAGAGAGACGTGACATCGCCATACTCATGAAGCTCATGTCATTCAACGGCTTCGTAGGATCTATAGTGAGCTGGAAGGCCCAAAACAGGAGGGCCGAGTTGATCCACACTGATCTGTACCACTCGAAGTGAGCTCGGAGGATTGTGTACACGAAAGGATACGTTTACCTGTTCGCAAGGTGTACACCAGGGCATACGCTGGAATGACAAACAATCAAAGAGAATATATTCCAAAAGACGACACTACTTACCGCCGACCAAACCCATAGATAAAAAACGTGAGATCGTCTCTTAAGCCACCTTGGTCATTCATCCAACGCTGAGGCTTGAACACGTCAGGATCAGGGTAAACTTCCGAATCTCGCGAGATGGCCCTGACAAAGAAATTATTGAGACCTTCGCAACTTGAAGGACGATATTTACCAACTGCTACCGACTACCGTAGTTCCGGCAGGAATGCAATAGTTCTCCTGCCGAGTGGATATCAGATTATCATTCACACGAGAAATCATACAGAGAGCACTCACCCAAATCACGTCTTCAGTTGCTCGATGAGGAAACCCTGCATGCAGTATGAATGTTGTGAACTTCAGGTATGAGACTGACAATAAAGATGCTCACCATCGGGAGTCACCGGTCTCCATCTGAAAGCCTCCGAGATGAAGGCATTCAGGAAAGGGAAGGATTGTTGGTCAGCGAAGGTCGGTGCTGTCGTGGAGAAATCATTGAATCGACCATGCAATGAAATACTACGGAACTACCTCGGTGCCTTCCTACGACCGCATCAAGCTCATCCTGGACTCTCGCTTGCTCCTCAGGAAAACATGCAGCTGCCATTAGCACCGTGCATATTGCCGCAGCAGTCTAATACTTGATATCAGCAACATATCGTCGGAAACGATAAACCAGGCCACACTGCATCGATTCCAGCTGCAAAAAAGTTGGCAGGAAGAAAATGCGCCTCCGACTCTGACAAGCCAAGGAGTTGTTGATTTTCTAGCACATATCTCCCGAACGAAGGACCAGCGTCCACATTACTTTGCTGTGGGACCGTTGAGATGGTATACGGAGATTGGCAGATCAGAGATGCGTACTAATTGTTGTTTGAAGCGGTTCATCTGACCAGAGAATATTTTCTGGCTATTTTCGAAATCCCTTTTTAATTTTCTGCCGTACCAAGGAAGGTTTCTGAGCCAGGGGATTGTGTCCACCCAGTAAGCCCCAGGGCGCATGACTGTATTAAACATGGCCGCAGACTGACGAATCTCTTTGACTTCGGGGTCAGTCGCAGACGTGTGCGTATTCTTCCCATATGCTACTTTCAAAATCGTTGTCCCAGCATAACTTCAAAATATTCGTAAGTAAACGTAATATGCCCCAGACCTAGGAAAGTGCTTACCTTAACACGTGATTATGGAAGTTGGATGGATCATCGAGAATGTTAAGGACCGTGTTCTTCGCAAATGACATCTGCAAAGGCTGATACGCCTCGGCTGCCTTAGGCTGGAGATGCGTATGAATTGCTCTGAATCACGTTACAATATCAGTTAGCGGCTTTTCTGCGACGGCACGCAAACTACGAACCTACGCATCCGACGGAACCTGTCCCCAACGCGTACAAGACCGATGGACAATCCGCCGGTAAGCATGTGTCCAGCATGCATGGGAGGACGATCAGCCAGCGCTCTGCCCTGCTTCTCCATGATGTCCACCGCTGCCTACAGCAGAATGTAGAGCCTTGATACGACAACTCAGAGTAGAGAAACTAACTTTGTAGCGGCCGATTATAACAACTTTCTCAGTTCCTGTGCGAATGGTAATCACAGGACCGCACTCGTCAATCCATTCTGCTACAGTAAGAAATGGACTGAACACCGATGGGACATAATTAGCATTCATAAACAATAGTAAATGGGAATCCTTACTAGTGAGAGGGAAGTGAGTGTCCCATAAGTGTCCCATTGGGAGGGGAAGGTGGGAGAGGAAGGTCATTCTTCGATCTAGGACGATGAACCCGAACAATCACTACTGCCACCAGAAAACAAGTCGTGACACCGAGAACGAACTGCGTGTTGTCAGAAATGGGTAGTAGGCAAGGCAGCAGTAGCATGGTCAATTGGAAGAGCGAAAGATGGATGAGACAGTGGCAGACCTTATCAAAAGCACATTTAATACCCCTCACCAATCGTGGCTACTACCGCACGATGCCGGATGTGAATCATACCTTTTGTCGGACGCAGAGTCAGTACTAGGAAGCACTGCAGCTGGCGTTTGATAATTGGCTGACTGGTAACAGGCTGAAAGTTCGTTAGCAGCTGGATGACTTCCCGCAGGCCTAAATAATCCTGAATAGAATATAATTTCACGCATTAGGAAGGTATGCCGCGATGTCATTTCGTCACCATTTGAAATTCAACGAGGGTCTGCCCCCCCCCCCAATAAACCTTAAATATGGGTACCCCCCTGCAGATTATTCTGACGTCATACTTACCTTTTTAGGACCACTGATATCGGCTGACATAATCGTACCGCGCGGTATGTGCGCAGACTCTGTCGTCTGGCGCCAACGGTCCGATACTACCGTTCCTGCACTCTCATATACTTGTTCTTGTTTGTACATGCACTGATTTTAGTGTCGTGGGCAGAAAGGAATTGGCCTCTCGGCAGATGGCAGAATGGCAGAACGGCAATTGGCAGAATGGCAAAAGTCGGCAAAATGTATTGTGAGCGTTTTTAGCTCTTTTCAACTATGTTTGTACTATGGCAAAAATGGTTTTGACTACTACACTAAGGCTATACCTGATGAGTCAAAAGTGCATCAATATCATACCCTGATGCACTCTCTGAGCTTCGATTGAGTACATTGATCTCTTCAACAAAGCCAGTTGGCACCGTGGATTCTGCCTGGGCCATCATTTTCTCACAGTTGGTCAGCCTCCAGCTGTGTCTCACGTGTTTGAACTTCTCAGATCAGTAATTGATTCTGGACCACAGTGTGAGATAATCCTGGTGATCAGAGTCTGCTGCAAGGGGAGGAATCCATGCAAACGACCTTTGAGTCGACTTGGAAATAAGTCGCAGAAGCGATAGATGGGGATAGATTTGATAGATTTCGGCCTTGATTGCCTTTTTTGTAGTGAGGTAGCCACACTGCCACGAGCATGCCAGATTATGATATATTTTTCCAAGGGGGTAGCAGGATAAGGAATTCCAACACCAACCTACCGAGTTGTACTTGTTTGTTCGCTTTCGGGGTCTCAGATTTGACTTTTTGTCTATCTTTTTGTTCTTCGTATGTTCAAACATAATGTATTAGGAGGATATGTTTCTATAGTACAAATGAACATATTTTGACGAGCATGAGGAATACTTGTCCATGAGGAAGTGGCTGCAGGAGGTGATGCAATTTTTACATCAAAGGTCTAGGGAGGGAATTACTGCATTTGGTGGTCTGGTAAGTGCGACGTTTGTCAGACGTGTTGTCCCAGCCCACCGCATGGCCATCTAGTTCATCATTTCACTACAATTCATTGCATAATAATGTGCTACACAGCACCTGGCAGCTGGACAGCTTCTCCGACCTTGACTTCGAGCCTAGCTCTGATTCCAACTCCGGGCCTACCCCCGAGGATGGAACCACTCTTGCTCATTACAATCCAGCACCCGCACCTGCCGAAATTCTTTATACACTGGATTATGAGGACGATGATGTAAGGACACCTGTGCGTCAGCTTTTTTTTCTTTGACTGTAATCTTGCTAAAGTGATAAATCAGGTCTATGTGATTGACCCATGTGGATTTTGCAGACAGTCAGGCCATCCGGTAAAACTCGTCAAGCAAAAACGAACATTTCAGCCACAATCCTCGTGTCCCCAGGCAATAGTGTTCAGTCTCAGCGCAGCTGTAAACAGCTCAAAGGCATCCCCATCAACAAATGCATCAATTTGCTGTGAACTATGCCCAACATCATCGGGTGACCGTGCTGTCTTCTGGATATACAATGTCCACCAATAGTGATGTTCCGGCCCGGCTTAGGCTCAAAGCCCCGGCTTAGGCTCGGCTTCGAAGGGCTTAGGCTCACAAAAATTCAGAGCCTAGGCCGTGAGCCCAAGCCAGCCCAAAGCCGGGGCTTGGGCCCAACCAGGCCGCGGCTTTTGGAAGCCAACAGATGCTCATTAGTGTAGGCTAGTAGTAACAAGCAACAGCGTGAATACAACATATCTAAACGTCCATCTCAACATCCGACACGTCCTCGGCATCATCACCCAAAAGCATCATGTCCCAAGCTTCTTCTCCATCCACAACATCACCAGTCTCTGCGTCCGCTTCCGCTTCTTCGTCATTGTCGTCCAGGTAATCCAACTCAACGAGAGATGATGGTTGAGGCTCCCGGAACAGAAGATCGTGTCGTAGCGCACATTTCACAGACGGCGCTGATGGTATGGGAGAGGTGGGTGGAGATTGCGTGATTTCAGTAGTGGATGAAGTGGAGGTATGTTCAGCAGCACATTTAGCAGCCTCCGCAGCGTGGAACTCGTTAATTGCCTTGGTTTGGGATGGCAGTGCTGCCTGCTCGGCATGCTGAAGAAGGGTGGCTGTAGGTTTCGTTTTGCGCACGGGACGTGCAACACGGTGCTCGGCATCTGTGTTTGTCATGGGTGGGTAGCAGGTAGGGATGTTAGAGGGACACGTACCAACATAAATCGATTGAAAGATAGTACTGGGTGCGCAATCACGCAGACACTTGTGAAGGCGAAGCACAAAAGGCTTTAAATTTACTAAAAATATCGATTTGCGCAACTGAAACCTGGTAGAGTGAGTTATGTCAAACTCGCAAAGCACAGGACATAGTGCTGGCAGCTCACCGTGGCTTTTCCGTAGCAACAGACAAGAGATAAGGCCTTGAAGGAGGGTGAATTGCTGGATATGTTGGACAGTGCAGGACCATCTGAGTTGAAGCTGATAAAGTGATGGAAGTCAGAAGCTTAGAAAGACAAAAATAGAGTCGGGAAACGTACCTCCGGTGAGTGCCACTGAACATGCCAAAGCCACGGCTTAGGCCGCCGGCTCAGGCTTTTCGAAACTCAAGCCCAGGCCCAAGCCTTCCTCAGGCCGTGACTTAGGCCTGGGCTGGGCCCGGCTTATTTGGGCCCGGCTTGGGCCGGCCCAGGGCCTCAAGCCGAGCCGTGCACATCACTATCCACCAAGTTGGCACCAACACATCACCAGTTCTCATGATGCTTCGTACTCCCTTCCTGCTGGATTTGCAAAGGAAATCGAAATCTCGCGCCTTGAGAAGGAGCGCCTCGGGATACCACCAGATTTGATTGACAATGCTGGGTCTGAAGTTCATCCTCAGGACGACTCGAATGCAACTGCTACAGGGAGTGCTAGTAGTAGTCAAAACTCGTCAGTGAAGCGCAAACGACAGACACTTCAAGGTAACACTGGTTCCAAGCGCTCGAAGAAGGCTTAAATTTTAAAATTGATTCACGCACATACGGTACATCAAAGCTACTTTCTACTATCACCTTACTAGACCAATCATAATAGTTATATGTAAATGCACGATGCACGATTTAATATCACACTATTTGCCTTGCCATCAAACTGTGTTTTGAAGTTATTACTTACTTACAATTCACTACGTATACGTATACGTGGTGTGTGGGACTTGGTGAAATTTCAGCGGTCGAGTATTGTACAGTATGGTATAGTATTCGACTCGTTTTCGGGGTCCTGGCCACTCAACTTTTGTGAGTCCGTGTCAGAAACTTTATGTCTGCTGCCCCCTTGTATTTTTCAGTCAATTAGATGTTTGTGCCGAGCAGCAGTTGCATGTGAAAAAGTAGTTATTTGAGTTGTTTTTGACCAAATTTTGACTTTCTCCCCAGTAACTACTAACAAAGTGGTCGGACACAAGTTTTTGGACAGAATGGCCCTTGGGCTTCTAGGCCACATGTCAAATTTTTATTGTTTTTAGTAGGAACAAATACTAGGTCATCGTATTTCTGCCGACTTCTGCCAACCACCCTTGACCTACTGCCGGCAATTGCCGCTTGGCAATTGCCACTGGCAGAATGGCAGCATTCTGCCAACAACACTAACTGATTTGGATGCTTTGTGACGAGCCGAATCTCTGAACCTTGGGCCACATCATCTTCTTGCTGTCGCAACTCTGCTTCGTTCTTTAGAAAAAATCATCCGAGTCCATATCAGTAGTGGATGCGGTCGATATTCTGTACTAGCTATCTATTGGTCTGCGGTTTAGTATTTTTTACAGATTATCCTACAGACTCACTCATTTTCATTTTTTTTTGAACTCCGGTTTATGATAATCCGGATTATTTAGCCCAAGTCACCCAGTAACCAGTGAGAGAAAGGCACGGAAGCTTGATTATTTTGAGTCTTTACGCGCGAGTACGATTGAAGTGCGTGATCAAGCATCAAAAAAACCCTCTCTCCTATGATGTAAAGCTGGACTAAATATGACAAACTTCATGGCTTTTTTTCCAAGTCATGATAGTTTCGCGAAAATAGATATAATTAATGCGGGAGTTGGTGACAATAGGTGGCCCGAGGTCATCCATATCATCAAAATAATAATGAAATCTGAAGCCTCTTCGGTTCTTCATTGTTCAAGGCAGCTTTCAAAGGCACGTATCTAGTTCCTTCCCTATGTAATAATGTGATAGACCTGCACGCGATCTCCAAAAAGAAGAAAAACACTTCATTCAACGATATTTAACGACATACATTACACAACACATACTTTGGATCGTGCTGAAAATTGAAATCTCATACTGCGAGGTATAGAGGGATATTCATAGTGGCTTCTCATTCCGAGTCGACCTCAGCATACCTATGCATGATGTGCCTGAGCTCCACGTCTGGAACTCTCGGTGTAAACACGATAGGGCAAGAGACACGTGGTGACACCAGATCCATGAAGCCCATGTCATTTAATGGCTTCGTATGATCTAGAGTGAGCTGGAAGGCCCAAAACAGAAGGACCGAGTTGATCCACACCGATCTGCACCGCTCGAAATGAGCTCAGAAGATTATGTACATGAAAGGATACATTTACCTGTTCGCAAGGTGTATACCGGG